GTCTCCTGACTGCCGCTTGGTGTTCACGGATCCTTGTCGACAGTTTTCTCCCAGTTTATCCCATATAGTGTTTCGAGAAGTTCTTGCAATTTTTTTTTCTAGATAACACTGCTCTTGTCCTCCTCCATTGTTCTCTCCTTTGGTTTTTTACAGAAGTCTCCTTAGACAGGCGGTAGGTTTATGGGCGGCTTGGAGTCCATATGATCTGAGCAGTCTTGCTGTCATTTCCGAAATGTCCTTGACGTACGGCAGGATCGTTCTTGTTCCTGATTTTCCGTCTGTTTTTTCCTTCTTTCTGTGGGCTAGAGTTCTTTTAATGAAGTTGCGGATGTAGTCGTTGCGAGCAAATACTCTGAGGGGATATCTTTCTTCTTTCTTGAGTATATCGATGGTGCAGTATGTTTGGATTCTTCTGAACAAGGTTCTAACACAGCATCTTTTGTGGCGGTGTGGATGATTACTTTTGAAGTTTAGAATTTGATCCGTATGCGTTGCTTTGCTGTAGACCGTTGTTTCCATTTTTCCTGATGGTGTTCTGATGATCAAAATGTCCAAAAAGGCCAGTTGTTTATCTTTCGTCTCCATTGTGAACTTGATGCCATTGAATGTGTTATTGATGATGTTGTGTCCTTAAATTTCCGACTTCTTCAAGATGACGAATATGTTATCAACGTATCGGAGCCAAAGTTTTGGCATGATTCTTGGTAGTACCTCCTTCTCCAGCTTTTGCATTACGGCGTCGGCTATGAATCCAGAAATTGGTGTTCCTTGCAGTTGTTCGTAGATTTCACCCTCGAATTTGAAGTATGTCTGCATGCATAGTTCCACGAGTTCGCAAATTGCAGCTGGTTCCATTGGTTGGTTCGTGGATCTCGCCAGGTCCAAGTCGATGGAAGTGAAGACGATCGGTTTCAAGGGAATTCTTTGTGTACATTCGGCAGTCCGTAGAATTGTGGGACAACCGAGTTTTTTGCTGTCATTCTCCAGTGTTCCTCTTTGGTTATTTGATGTAGTTCCTCCAGTCGTTTTAGTGTAGTACTTATTTTGTTTTGCAGTTTTGCGGTGGGGTCCATATCGATCCTGCGGTAGGTGTTTGTGTCTTGGAGTAGTTCTTTGGCCTTTTGAATGTAGTCAGTTTTGTCCATAACCACAGTAATTTGTCCTTTATCCGCTAGGAGAATGACGATATTTTTGTCCATCTTCAGTGTTTTGAAGGCTTTGTCCTCGCGGTTTGATAGCATGTTTGGTTTCCTTTTCGTATCAGAGCTGGGACGATTGTTTGTCGGATGGTTTGTTTCGCATCTTCAGGTATCGTGGACGATTTGAGAGTTTGTTCCAGTTCCGCCATGTTGTTCGTTGCATTTCTGACCTTGAAGTTAAGTCCTTTAATGGGGATTCGTTTTTCATCCTGTGTGGTCACGCCATTGGAGAGATTTCGGACCCAGTTTTCATTTTCGTCGATAAGCTCATGATCATTCAACTTGTGGAGCTTTCTTGAGAGTGCTAGTTTTCTTTTTCTTTTAACATTTGTGACACGTCGACTTACTGCGTCCTCCAGCTGTTCCATCTGTCGTTTGCTCAGTGTAGTTCGACAGTTCTGCTGTTATTCTTGTATAACCTCTTTGTACTTGGTAAGACATCTGTGAGCGTCCGAGATCATCATGCGCACCATGCGTCTTCCCAATTATCGTGAGATCCTCCAGGCCTCCGGGTGATTGGTGGTCCCTGGCGTACATCAAGGACATTTCGGAAATGACAGCAAGACTGCTCAGATCATATGGACTCCAAGCCGCCCATAAACCTACCGCCTGTCTAAGGAGACTTCTGTCAAAACCAAAGGAGAGAACAATGGTGATGAAACGTTTGCAAACAAACCGCCAAGCTTGTTAAACAGGCGACTGGAGCCTTCGTGCATTCAAAACCTGACCCACAAAGTAAACGGGTGGTGTGTGAAAAACACAATCTTTGAGGGTCCGGTCTTTAGTTCATCAGATCATACGCCCTTCGGACGGGGTCAAACGTTAAAGGTACTCAACATGCCCCGATACCCAATCCCGTTGGTGATCAACGGGGAAGGTGTAGGTGTTTGCGGTTTGTACGCCTTTTCGTGGGTAGTTTGAAATCAGGATTTTAGCCAACTCCCCTACGTGAGATGCCGGTGGATCATCGACCCGGTTATAGTGCCGGGTGTCCGCTTTTTGTCCTCTCACTTTGGTGAGAAAAGACCTCCGCCAGGGGAAAGCAATGAGTGCGGGCTTCCTCGGCAGATGTTTTGGACGTTTGGTCGTATAGGAGCATTTCGCGAGGTTCAAGAGAAGGGTAACCATCTAGAGTGCATAAAAATCCGGCACTATAATTAAATACACCGGATGCATTTGCGAACCGAAAGAGAAATATGATAATGAAGTGTGACTTACGTAGTGTTAATGACTCCGTTGACCGCGTGATTCAATGATGAAGCTGCATGCTGTCCCAAGAGATTCTCCGTAAGTTTAGTATTCGGGTTCTGATCACAGTTTTCGGAAAGAAAGAGCGATGATAAAGAGGGACAAAATGGAGAAGTAAAACAGCTGATTACCATAAGGACAGAGAATGTCAGCTAAATCCATTTACACATAAGGTCACATGCAATTCAACTAATGTATTGATGATGATGGAGAAGGGTAGGATTGCCAACAGGTTCGAGGAGGTTTTCCAAAGAGTTTTAACTCCGAGATATGTTCTGAACTCTGAACCATGTATCGCTCTTCCAATTTTTTTATGCTACCGTCCGGGTTGCTATCACGCCCAGTATGCTGGATTCCTGAATGGCTCGCTACCCCAATGGCAAAGGTGCCGAGTACGGGATGAATTTCAGATCACCATGGCTGTATTGTATACCTTGTGTAGTGTTTATCACGTAATAGTGTGTAATGAAGGAGGATTTTGCTTTTGAAACACAGCACATCTGTTATTTCATATTCGATGAAATTGTTCATTCAAATTTCCCGCCCGGACCGTTGAGACAACCTATAGCAATTAAGCTTATCATACAAAGACGAGACATTTTGCTGTCGTTAATCGTACGTGTACGCGGATGATGGCGATTGAGTGCAAATATCGTAGGTGACTTATGACAAGCAATTTCGATAACAGGGATTTTCAATTTCCGATTTACATAACATTTTCTGGAGGATTTGTTTTACTTGTCAAAGGGATGGTGGTGAGTAACATGCTGACTCCACATGAAATCACCCACTTGTAATCAGTTGTACCCCCCCCTCTCCACGGGTTTGGTACTCAGCGGAATCGATGGATGGAAATAGCTGTGAGTGACCCCGGCTTTTCAGTTTACGATTCTGTCTAGGACGGATTGTAGTGGAAACTTCATCTTTATAAACTCTCTATTTTTGCTAACAGATTTCTGTTGGGTAGCAACCATCTTTCTGCGTATGCCATTGGTTACCGTAACTATCACTTAGTACTTCACCACTGTGGTCATATTTGCCAATATAGAGTTTACCAAATCAAAATAAATGACAACGTCGCTGATGACAGAGAACAGAAGGTGATAGATGCGAAATTTATATGAGTAATGGAACGGATTAAAAGAAAAACGCCAACGTTCGTCAAAATTAGTACCAATACAGAGAATTTCCAAACAAACATTACATGATTCTATCGAAGCTTAAGCCAATATTATCATCTCGCTAGTATAACTTATTTTCGGTGAACCTTTACCCCTTTCTAGACACCTGCGTTATTAGAATGCGTCTAGAGAACCAATCAGAACAATTGTGCAATATTGAGAGGATAACCGAATCTGTGGTTAACTAGCATTTTCACTAGTGTTAGCCGGATCGCGATCAGCTTTTAAGCTTAACTCCGACACTGTTTGGTTGGTTCTAAGAACGCAATGACACTATTGGTGACCGCTGATTTCGGAAGATCAGTCATCCTGATTGGACGAAAACCGCAAAATGTATCACGAACTTTTCATGTCTCATCCAATTTCGCAACTGGTTACTGCTTTACATCAGCAGGGGTGTTTTACAAATATGGTGGGAGATTCGAACATGCCATCCCATGGTGGACCATATGGTGATCGTTTGATACTCGAATACAGGGAGTAGATATCTAACACCTAAAGATACGGAAATGCAGAACTACAGATTATCTCTATACTGATCACACAAATTTATGGGGGCTCATCAATTCTGTGTGCATGCCCGTTTGATCTAAACGAATAAAGCAACTAACAGTGTATATGCATCGTTGAAGACAATGGACAGTTTCTTCTAATAAAGGGTTTCGGCTAAAATAGATCTTTATTAGTTATTTGTATCGGTATACCTTGTGTAAGCTTAAATGCTCACATTTCAGTAAAAAATGTAAATTTTTCGTCAATCGCAATGAAATATACAGCTTCATATAACACGTAACATAAAGAATGTCGCTGAAGTTAGTTTCATGAACAAACCTTCTAACGTAGTTCACTTGTGACCTGTTCCTTTTTGGTTAGGTGTCCGACCAGGTAAGGTACAGAGGAATTTTCATAAATTTACATACGAGAGAATAGATGCCGAAAAGAGGAGCGTGTAGGCGGATAGGAACGACAAGATGATAGATCGGGATGCCGTGGCAAGTCTGAATAACGATATTTTTGGTGGTATAAGGAAATCAAGTAAGCACACCTAATGATCAATAAGGGCTCTCCTGATTTTCGTCTGTACTTTGTTCACCGGTTGATTGATGGTGCTAACACTAACATGAACAGACTCTCACAGCCGCGTTCATGCGCATCAGGAGAATCCGCGTGATGGGTTCACAACGATTTGTAATCACCCAAAATTTCATGACTGACGCACTGATGGTTATCCCCAAAATATTCTAAGGGGAACCAAATTTTTAACAGACATTTATTGTCCGGCATTTGTGGCTTTTTCAAACCCCATTAGCCGTGATCAAACATGATGATGATGATGATGCAGTCACAACCACAGCTGACACAACAGATTGACGTGTTGAATGCAATCGAGTACCAGTCAATAAATGGCTGCGACCTACTCCATCTGTCCTGACTTTTCCGTCAAAAAACCGTGTGTAGTTTGAGACCAGCTGAGAGGCTGAACCTGTTGCAGGTGTGAGTACACTGCAGATGCAGACCCAGACTAAGAGAACCGGTGAACAGTAGTTCGATTATACTTGAATGACACTTGTCGTAAACACGGATTTCGCACATTGCATTTGTTATTTCCATCGCCCGGAAAGTTGAAAAAATTAGTCGAGAACCTACCGTATTAGCAATGGTGACTTCATTTGCTTCCTCGGCAGCTTCGATGGCCTTTCGTCTAGCTTGTATACGTCGTTGCATTTCGCGCATCATGGAAGAAACTGCCAGATTGGATTTTGGCATTGTAGAACTAGAATCTCGGCGTGGTAAATTGGATCCGCCTCCTTGGGCCTCGAACGAATCGCCCTGATGTCCTTTCGTTCTTCCAGGGTGTTCCGATTGCCTAGATGATGGCAAGTTTGATCCCATCAGTGGTGGTGGTGGTGGTGGAGGTGGCGGCGGCGGAGGTGGTGGTGGGGCAGCAGCTGCGGTTGTAGTGGGACGCACGTCGTGACGTGGAGCGGAGTTCACCTAATAGCAACAAATCAAGAAGAAAGATTTACAACTACTACGGAGTACAATAAATTGCTATTTGCAATCTAGAATCGAACAATGACTCAATACCCATAATAATCAGTACAGTTTCAAATCAAAGATTGCAATAGCCAGATGCATTGTTATCGGGTTGGTATCTTGGCAGACTGCTTATAACAAACGATAACTCCTTCCGACCAAATGCTGATTCATCACAAACGGTATAATAAATCAAGCAAAATCATAATACGCTTCATGCACTTCGATGCTGTATCATCATCAGCATCAGCATCATCGGTTTACGTATTAAATACAGCGGATATGTAAGTTGGCGAATTTTTTTGTCGTGTACAGAGCAGTCGAAAGCACGCTTTGCGCGCCATGTAGACAACGAAATTCACTATTTCATCGAACAAAACCTTACACTACTCTAATGTAACAAGTAGTCCAGTTGGGAATGTTTCCAGCCGAGGCTGGTGTTGGAATGAGTAGGGTGTAATGCACGTGACAACTGAGGAGAGATGAGTTGCGTTCAATCGCGTATAAAACTATGAAGCCTGGCTTGATCCGTTGCTCAGTGGTCAAGTGTGAAATGCGCTTGGGTTCTCGGGTTAAATCATCAGTTGGGTCTATGGATTGGCACTGTATCCTAGCTTTTCAGCTCCTGCTACACTGTATTTAATAGAGTCATCTTTGGGAATGCGAAAACTACGGGCATCAAGATCGGGGAGGCTATTCAAAGACATAAGATAACGGGCGTAGGTTTTGAAAGTGAAGCTGTATTAACCAAAAAACGTTATTCATGCTTGACAAGAATATATTTCCTTTTATTAAGTTTGATGGTAGAAAAAGTATCAGGAGACATTTACAACTTCGATCAGCTCGAAAACGGTCAAAGATATAAATGAAAGCAACAGACGAGCAATATAAATATAAAGCCAAATAGATATCAGAATAGATGCACTGAAGATGTTATCTTGGAAGACTCATACTTATTTGACGAGGAAAACAACAAAAAGGAGCGATCTTAGCAACTTCACAGAACACGAATCTAAGACACACGCGAGTCACTAAGAAAACGCAAATATGAAACCATGAGAACTATTCAGAGCTCAGAAAATAGATTCAAATGATGATTCAAATACCGATAGAAATCTTCAAAGGTGGAATAGCTCAGGCAATCACAAACTATGGTTGGATTGAAGCATATTTATTCAGTATCTTTTGTCTATACGTGATTCCGTGAGAAATCATCAAAAGGCGTGTAGCAGACGAACTTCAAGAGTCAAGAGGAAACTGGTCGGTGCACTCTGTTGGTTCTTTTCGGTAGTATCTCCAAATGATACAAAACTAAAACTGCGTTTAGTCAAGAACGGCTCAAGAGTGATGACCATTGTTGGACGCCCTTGAACACAAAAAGCGATTACTCAGCGTATAATGAAATGTTTGTGATCCTTCGATTCCTTAGAATGAAGTGGAGGATGTAGATTATCTACTATTGGCCGAATTCCGCCCTGTTAATAAAGAAAATCGATGTGCCCTTCTGAGAATGAAACACAAAGCAATTTTGAAACCCCCAAACCTCAAAGTCTTTCTTCTCAACATCCACTGACTTATACCGCGGGAGGAGACAGTTGTCTGGTGAACATTGAAAGATCCCGTACAGGGAAAATATCACAACCAAATTGCTGGAAAAAGGAATTTGTACCGCAATCGAGACCTACTAAAGGCAGATCGTCATGAGATGAAACAGAGGTACAAACAGAGGTACTCAAAGAAACAAGTCAAAGGGAAGGGGATTTATAACGCTACCGATTTCAGTCATTCGGAGACAGGAGCGAATCGATAGTGATATGTACTAGAAATAGCCAGATGTGATTGGCTTCGCCAACAGAGACCTGGTAATTTACAGAGAATTCCACTCCAATTGGAATTCGTTACATAAGCACATCAGATCCTAAAACGTTTTGGCTCATCCTCGTTTATTAACTTCTGAATGTGTTCTAACGCTTGATAAATTTGACTGCTCTATGCTCCGAGAATATTCCAAAGCCCAACCTTGCGAATGGGGTTGTGGTGATTGACGTAGGGTACAAGTGTGAGACTATTTTCGAATGCAAATCGTAAAGTGTACCGTCGTTAAGGTTTTTTTCATTTCTGTATACACTTAATAGAGTGATTAAACTAGTTTAGGCTAACAGTGACAAGGGACAAGAATAGATAGCGAATTAATCTATTCATGTATAAATTTAATACTGCATACAGACTGTTTTTGTACCTTGGTTTTCTAAAGTCTGCATTTGGCTACTCTAAACAATTAAGTAGGCAAATCATTATCATTGTAAGAAAACAAAATAGCGAACAAGCTCGGTTGCGGTGATTCTCCTATAATCTATATCAAACTGTTTGGAGGGGTGGAGAAATCATCATATGTTAGAAAAGAGATAATCAACACTCCGATTCCATGAACGGATGTTGCTCACGCTTTGATCCTCACACATGCGCAGTGGTCCGGGGGTATGTGGCTGTGCATACATACACACATACATACATACACACACTTACATACATACATATATGTACGGACGGTACCATTGATGTAAAATCCAGGTTTATTCGAGATGTTTTCCTTCATAACGGATATCCCTTCTAAACAGTTTGATATAAATTGTGATGTATTAGCCTGTAGAAGAATCACCACAAACGCGTTTGCTACGTTGTGTTCTTGCAATGGGTAATGATGGTAAACTGGGACAAACCAATATCAAACAAAAAGCTAAAAGGGACCGCATTTAATTCAAAACTGACATCAGAAATACACAACGCTGTGCATTTGTAATAATGGAATCTACGAATGATAGACTGCATCTATTTAAATATTACACTTCGATAAGATTGAGTTAATGTATGAGGTTATTCGGCTTTGTGCAATAATCATTCAGGTTGAGACAGGAAAATTCACTACAGAAATAATACAGGAATTGATTCCAGCTGAACGCTTCTCCCACCTAGACAAGTGTGTAATGAATGGCGACAATGCAGTTAAGAAACTGACCGAAGGAATACCCAAGGCTCAAGCAACGTTCGTAGGACTGAAATACTGTTGGTGTCAATGTGACGTTCCATTGAAGTTGACAGATTGTGTATATTGGGCCAGTCTGAGATCACTTGTGTTTTACAGTTACGAGGCTGTGAGCTTGCTTATAGAAAACATCAACGGGAGACCTTCGAAAATCGATTTCCGTAGTTTGACACGGGTAAGGTGCGGCGAGCGGTTCAGAAATACTGAAGTAAAACGTCATTTTGGGGGAATTTTTCTGCGGATAATTTGTTATCACACTGTACTCAAACGTGTAGATCCCACTGGTTAAGACACCCATTGTCTGTGCCTAGCTGTTTTCTACCGCAGCCTCCTTTTTGCGATTGCCGCTGCATGCTAGCGAAAACTATGTGAAGGCGAAAAAAGGTGCAGAGAAGAGGCACATAGAAACCAGGCATTCGTG